GCGAGAGCGAGAGGGAGAGGGAGAGGGAGAGGGAGAGGGGGAGGGGGAGAGAGTGCGAGGAAACAGAAACTGTCCATTTATGTATGCACCCGTGCGTATGCGATTGAACGCACCTATTTCGCGTATTTCCGCGAACCCTCACGCGAAGTTCTCACCGTCGAGCCGCACCGGCACATCTGGCGGCGGAGGGCTTGGGCCGATCCTTGGATTCTCACAAGCAAGTGGAATCAAAGTCTCTCTGTGCACCTGTACAGTATCCCTCAACCCTGCCAGCCTAAGCCATTCTACAAGGAGGCAGGGGATGACCCGTTGCAGCGGCGAGGAGCCTGCCAAGACAACACCCGCCAGGACCACCACTTCGGGCCGCAACGTAGATATAGAAATAGATTTAGATACGGAATCCGCGAGAGCAGTGCGCCGGCAGTGGAGATTTGGCAAAAAGCTGGCAGGGCCAAGCCCGGTCAGGTCTTCCCACGAAATCCAAGTGAAAATTGAAAAATCAAAACACCATGGAAATTTAGAGTAGCTGGCAGGGCCAAGTTCGGGAGCATACACGTACCAAAATTTCAGTTGCACCAACAATCCATCAGTCTTGTCCCTTGTGAAGCACCGTACGGAGTGTGACAAACTGTAAAGCCTCTTCAACTGTTACTAATATTTATCGCAGACAGATATTGATAGGGATGAGGCATCTTCTAAGTGGAAGCTTTTGAGCAAGCGAGGGACGCGCAACTATCTGTCAAAATAAACCAATGGTCAATTCCTTCATGACTTGATCTTAACACGACGTTGAGCTCGTCAATCTCCTGGTCGTACATAGAATGCCAGTGATGAGTGCAAAGGCATAAAAATTGTGATAAAAGCTCGGGTACGTTGATATCAGCTTCATCGTTTTTGTTGACATTCCTCTATGCTGTAACGAACAACTGCAGAGTAAATTTGTGCTTCCTTATCAAGGAATGCAGGAGACCCCATCTACGCAGGTGAAAATAAATCAGACCCCAAACAATGAAAGAGCACCTAGCAGTCTAAGCCTAAGCCCGACATACCCAACAGCCATTACATGAGCATCCGTGACCCAACACCATGCCATGCCTCAGAATACTCTCACCGCTGTGGCAAGAACACGACTCCCACCCAAAAATAAATGTTGGTGGGAGCCTCCAAAATGTGGACAGTCGTGCGGCGGACACAGACGGGACGACGCGCACCCTAAATGCACAAGTCCTTGAGGCAGGAGCACGAAAGCAAACCTCGAATAATCCCCCGAACCTCTGAGAACGGCGGAATTCGAGAGATCTCGAGCACGGCTGCTAAAAGGCTACGATCTCAGTTCAGCCTCGGCTCCTCAGAGACAGCTCCCGCCAAAGGCGCAAGGCATATCGGTACTGCTGTTTCAAAGGCTCCTCTCAAGGCTCTACCACGCATGGAGCGATTGAAATACTCTACATCAAGCTCAAGGAAGGAGCCTTCAGACCTACTGCGTACACCAGGACACCTGACATCATGATACCTGAACTCCTCGACCGACCGGACAAAACTTTCGCCGTCAAAGTCCAGGCCACTCCTCCACCAGCGGTAGCTCTCTTTCCTTCGCCGTCAGTCGAGCCTCACATCAAGGTATTGTGATTTGAGCATCCAGAATACTGAGCATGATAGTGGTCCTATGGTTCATTAAATTGTAGTTTTCCTTGTCCACCTGATGAAAAGGCGCGGCTAGACAGGCGACTTGAATCTCCAGAAGGCGATCCAGGGATTTTCGGTGCTCCTCGTCTGTGAAGAGCCTGTCACCTCCAGGGATCAAGAACTTGGGGTCTCCCTTGTACTCTCAACCAAGGCCAAGGGTTGACCGACTGCGGCTTTGGACGATTCCTTCTGCCCTCGGGAGGGGTGCGAGAAGGTCATCTCGCCACTGCCTAAAGCTTCCAGAAGACTTGCAGCCTTGCTGACTGAATCTGTAAAGTGCAAGGCTGAGGAGCTTCGCAACGCGCATGACAACAAATGGTGCCACAATGTGCTCACTCCGGAACATCTCACAGGAGAGAGAGACTCTAGGCAGCCCTTGAAACTGCTACCCCGAACACTCTTCAACCATCCAAATCCCTAAATTCCGAAGTATATGCGGAGCCTTCACGGCGTTGGGTTGTCGTGGGTCCGCGCGGCTTGGACTTGGTGTGGCCTTTTCCACCGTAGCCTGTCAGTCATGGCCACCATCCGACTCGGTTTTGTCATGACAACATGAGCATCACCATCACTATCGTGATCACTATAAGTAGCGCTTCTTCTTCACTCTGATAGCATATAACTAGCAGTATCAAGCTTCGTCCTCTCCTCCAAGTCATCATGCATCATCATCGATTTCTCATCACCATGGTTTTGCTATGCAACTTCGTCAGCTCATGCACCTTCAGAGAATCAGGAGGCCCGTTCAGCTCCGTCTTGCAGCGATGATTCGCAAGGGAACCCCACACTCGTCAGCCCGCAACTGCATTCCCCTCATCTGTGGGTCCTCCGGGCTGCATGCGAAGCCCGAGTGCCCGGAACCTGCAAGGAAGCAGAAATCAGGCCTCGCGAGGGCATCGGATCCTGACGCTTGGGACCACCCGCTCCGGCCAAATGCTTTACCAGGCGTGTCTTCGCAAGTGCTTGGGCAGACCCCGCAAAAAAAAACGCTTCAAAGCGCTGACTCCAACCGATTCCGGAGTCGCCGGAGTCCGAAGTCGCCTCCTCGGCGCTCTCGGCAGAATCCTTCCGAGGCCGGACGAGGCCGGGCTGGAAGGTGAGCTTCACACGAACTCCGGTCGGTCCGAGACATCAGAATAGCAACCTTCTAAGATCACTGTATACAGCTGTAGCCTTACTCTTGAACTGCCACCCTCGCCAGGCCATGTCATCAAAAGAACCAGAGTCCCTTTGCAAACCCAATGCCCTTTGTCCTCGTCCCTGCCCTGCACTCTCTCGTTGCCGCCTTTGTCCTTTCCTCCGCTAGAGCCTGCGGATGAGCTGGGCCAGGAAGCAAAGATGGCAACATGCTGTGCCACTGACAACTGGGTCTCTAGAATATAACGTTCATGGATCGACGATCCTGTGCCACTGCATTTTTGTGCATATCTCCGCCTTGTGCAACCTGGACGCCCGAATCCCTCAACAAAAACTGTACTGATATTGCGTGCGATGCATGCTGAAAGGTGGGAAACGAAAACAATAATCTGCCAGGGGAAGACTTTCCAGTTGCAGTGTGCCTGACCCGTCGCTGTCATCCTCCTCCTCGCTCAGGATGCTGGTAAAGGCTGCATCAGTGTTAAGATGGGAGGTGAAGATAGGCAATCCCGTAACAGAAAGGAAGCAGCATGGCCGACATGTCGCGTTACACTTCCTGCCGAAGCAGGATATAGAGAGGCACCTGTAGGGGAACACTCCCCTGACACCCCTCTCGTACCATGCTGTGAACTGTTGAGCTTTCAAGCGCTGAAGCAAGCAGTCCTTGCCCTTGACCTTCCCTCTTCCGCGACCTTCCCCGCATCCGCAGGGAACAAGGTGTGGATTTGCTTGTGGCGACTGCTACTAGCTCGAGTCGTAGAGGAGTGGCTGCTGCTGCCACTCAGTTGTTGCTGCCTGCCGTCCCGCTACTCCTCCTACCACGATTCTCTCTGCTGCAGGCCCAAAATCGAACTAGGCTTGGACACGAACACGCAAAGACCAAACTCTAACCTTCAATCTGTCTGCGAAACCACTTTCTGCCGATGGCCTTTCTTCCCCTTCTGCGCCATTCTGTCCATAACTTCCTCGTAAGACATGTCCCTCCACCTGTCTTCACGCTCCACGAACATGTTCACGGAGCCTTCGAAGGCAGCCCGAGTGCACTGCGGAAATCATAGGCGGAGCATTTAAGGTCACTGCCAGCTTAGTTAGTTGGGGGTTCTGGACAGTTTCACGGAAGGCTGACATGAGCATGTGAACCCAATCTCTTGAACTGGTTGTAGTGAAACGGTCACTCAAGGTGGGATACACCCGCGACACCTCCCTCAGTCCGAAATCACCCCCGTCTGTCCGAAGCCTTCACAGTAGGTGCAGGAATGTGGGCCGTGCAGATTACATTCTGCAGGTTTAGGACTTGCGGTTTCCGAACAGCCGGGGCACGGACTGGGACCGTGTGCTTTGGGAATTCGACCATGATTGCATTAGGCGCTTCTTCATGCTTAGGTTCAGAGCTGCCGCTCCCTGCACCTGGCTTACAGGGAAGATGCTTCAGCCGTGACCCACAGACGAGAAATCCAGTGAACCCCGTGCAGAAGCGATCGATGCTTGTTAAGGCAATGTGGGAAAGGTTAGCAAGGTATGAGTAAGAAGGCTGGCGCAGGATGATCCCTTCGAGGCTTAAAACGCTGGGCTCGCCTGAAGGGAACCCAAACGTGAGCTCCAACTTGTGTTGCCTGGGACCACGAGAGGCTGGAAGGAGGCTGCAGGGTCTGACAACCTTGGCGACTGGGCGGCCACGGCAGGGGCGGCGGCAACGGTATCACCAACAGCAGCTGGAACAACCACTCCCCCCCACCAGCACCACTAACGGCATCACCACCACCACAAACCACCACAATGGCATCCACAGCCACAACACCAACAACGACAAAATCTTGGACCCTCGTGACTTGAACCGGCTCTCAGAAAGTCGCACGGAATCGCATCCCCTGAACACTACCCCATGAAACCCTAGAATCTCAGCGGTGCAGCTGGTTTAAATGAATATCTCCTGAGGTGTTGCTGGCCTGACTTTAAACAGGGAACAATTAGGGTCTGCCACAGGGATTCTGTCAACACGGAGCCTCCAAATCTATCCCAAACCCGAGATTCTCAGGACGAGGAGCACTCGCTTGATCTCGCATCCCTTCTCCCCCAAGGCTTGCCGAGGGTTGCGAACCGTCGCGATGACTTCGAAGTATGCACTCGGCTGGCAATGCGCAAAGCACGCGAAGCATGGAAACGTGAGAACTCGCGAAAGCACTGAACCGCCAGAGGGAGAGAAAAAAGCTCGCAGCTTTGCCTCTGACTTGAGGGTTTGAAAGCGGTTGTGAGTTGTCTGTGCATGTATGACACCAAAGACCCCGTTTCCCCATCTTAACACTATGCCGGGATCTGGACCGAGCCTGGACAGAACCTTCCCAGTTCCGGCTTGAAGCGAAGCATGCCCCACAAACCTCCTCCACATATTCACATATCCTCCAGAACCTGCAAGACACCCCTGACCGGAGTGACCGCAGTGCAGCTTGAGACTCCCATCCTCGCGTTCACGACGACGTATCTCGACTTTTCCTCACATGGAAGGTCCAAGCACGTGGAAGGTCCGGTGAACCTTCTCCGTGAGCCCAAAGCCTGTAAGGCTGCTTAAGACTTCTTGCTGCCGAAGTGTGTCCAGAACCATACACAATCCTTGAACCCTCTTTACATCTCCGAGAGTCGGAAGCCCCAACGGGCCCACTCCTTTCGCAAGAAGGCCTCAACAGCCTTCGCATTTCGGCTTCTCCGTTTTGGGCTTGTGGGAAACGAAGGCCTGGGATGGCTCAAGATGGCCCAATTTCCACACGGGCCTTCAGGGATGAGGGGGGGGAGGGGGGGGGTCCCAAAAATTCGGGCGAGAGCCGAAGGGAGTGGAAGATTCGGCTGTCAGGAGCTCAAGCTGCATCCTGGACCGTATCCTCAACTGCTCTCTCACAGGATGTTATGCTTGAGGCTTCGCTTTTCAGTGCAATCCTTCGCTGTGCAAAGTTGTGCTCTAACGTCTGCCTTCCCGATCCCCTTCAACAACCGAACATCTCCTGGCTTCCGACCATTGGATGCGAGGAGTAACAACTGCCGTCTGTGGCAGTCACCTCCACGACACACATAAACCGGCAACCCTAAATGCAAACCCTATGTAAAGGAATGGTCCTTTCTACGAGGATCCTTTTGAAGCGTACCTCGAATCTTAAGAAACCCCCACATCGCGGAACTTGCGTGCTGGATTTTGCAACCACAAGTTTGTCCTCAAGAACCTGGTCCCGGCCTCGTAGAAGACGTAGGCAGGCGCCATGTTGGGAACTTCAACTTTTTGCTTGGGGGATAGTTGCGATCTAGAGCGTTAGGAAAGGGAGTTTCATCGTCAGCTGGAAAGCTGGTCATGGCTGTCTCAATGCTGACAGTCTGAAATGTGCTGCCGTGCTAACCGCTCAAGCCCGACACGCTGAGCTGTTATGCTCGGTGCGAAGATGGGACCACATCATGCCAGGCGCTTGTAACGACCAACAGACCTGCACTGCATTTTGAAGATTTCGAACCTTGTAGCACGAAGTACAATAGAACATAGGTGGCAGAAGTAAGCAACGCAAAAGTGACGAGGACGATTATGATGATGATGATGGTGGCGACGACGAGGAAGATGGCGATCCATGGTGATGATTTGACAATGCTGATGGTGTTCCTGGGAACATCAGCAACAACAACAACACCAACAACCGCCGTAACGGTAACAACTACAACCACCTATACCGCCCGTAGCGCCAACACCAGCACCAACGCAAACAAACAACAAACAACACACAGCACAAAGAAAACAACACTGCGACAAACACAAATCACACAACAAACAACACAAACGCACAATAAACAAACAAACAAACAAACAAACACACATACACACACACACACACAACACACACGACACACAGCGAGCAAACAACAACCAACAACCCAGAACCAACTGCCGGCGCCCAACAGCCAGCAATCAACAACCAATAACCGACAACCAACAACCAACAACCAACAAACAACAACCAACAACCAACAACCGAAAACCAACACCAACAACCACAACCACAACCACAATAACAACAACAGCAGCAGCAGCAGCAACAACAGCAGCAGCAACGGCAATAGCAACCGCAGCAGCAACAGTAGCAACAGCAGCAGCAGCAGCAGCAGCAATAGCAACAGCAGCAGCAGCAAGACACAAAGCAACAAACCACCACGAAAAAGCACAAATCCCTGATGTCCATCATCCTCGTCATTGGGATCCTGCCGTGATGATCATGATTAAGAACATGACCATCATCTTCAGCAATAGTGCCATCACTGTCATCATAATGTCAGTGTGCTCATCACGACCTCCATCAACAGCAGAAGATTCAAAACGTCACGCCTGTCATCATGATCTTATTGCGATGAACACGAAGACCATGAAAACTCAAGACTCGTCGCCATGCAACAGGGACAGCAACACCAAGTACCAGAGCTGGCGCGCTTCAAGGTCCCAGAAGCCCGACAAGAATGGAAGCAAATGCGAAGATCCCACAAATGACGACAGAAATAGCCCTGTCAAAAGCCAAAATACTGATAAACCGCAACCACGAACCAAAGCAAAGCAGCATAGCAATGGCAACTGTCCTGAGAAAACTACTGGCAGTAACCCAGACTGCGAGACCTCGCTGTAGATGTCGTCAAAGTTTCGCCCCTTGGCGCGCTCTGCATCCATGTAGTCCTGTCTTGAGCACAGCACAGCCAATGCAAGTTCTATCGAGCCTGACATCCGATCTTTGAACCAAATGCAGAGCCCGATCCCAGACTCAATAGACTGAGAATCGGGAAGTGCGAACAGGCAAGATGATAAACCTATTTTGATACGTTGGCTGCTGAACATCGGCAGCTGCCTGAGCTTTGGCGCTTAGGGTGTGGTCAGCTCCAACACTTGAAGGGCACTGGACGCAGATGTACAAACCGTGAGCAGCCTTTGCTTTGACTCCTTTTCGATGCCTGACAACCTGTAAACCCTTTAGCCCTCACTCTGATCATTCTACAGGCTGCGCCTTGACGACGTATGAGGCCTCTACTGCCTCACCTGGCAACATGGATGGATGCAGACAGTGGTAATTGCTATGAGATGCCACAACCTCCCTTGTCAAAACCTTCACAAGCCAGTCAGCACCAGCAACACAAAACTCTAGTTCATCATGCGAGCATACTGCATCTGTAGTAGTAGTAGTAGTAGTAGCAGCAGCAGCAGCAGCAGTAGTAGTAGTAGTACTAGTACTAGTACTAGTACTAGTACTAGTGCTAGTACTAGTTCTAGTACTAGTAGTACTAGT